AAAGGAGGTAATGTAAAACGTCGATAGATCCGTCGCTAGCCCCTTGCCTTGAGCAGCAGCAGGTACTTGAAGTACTCGGGCAGCGTCAGCCCCGCGTCGTCGGCTGCCTTGTACAGCTTCCAGCCGTACTTGAGGCAGTTGAGTGCGCTAACGGTCAACGACAACGCAACGGTACGTTGCTGCGCGCTACCTGAGCGGGGTTCGGGGGTGTACGAGGTAAACAGAAAATGGCGACCGCAATGCAGTGGTGGTGGTGGGTAGTGGTGGGGGTGGTAGTGGTGGTGGTGGTTAGGAAAAAAGGGTCCCGAAACCAACCTTGAGGATTTGGAAGCTGGAGGCAGAAGAAATCCACCTCGCCATCAACCTTTGGGCGCCTCCCTGGACCTAAAACCCTCTCCGCCTTCCCCCCCTACTCCCCACCCTCCTTCACCCCCTCTACCTGATTCCCCCCCACCCCCGCCCTCCTTCACCTCCCACCTGCATGACTGCCCTGGGCCAGCTGGTGGTAGATGTAGGTTTGCAAAATTGTTTGCGGAATGCTCTCGAACACAAACTCAATGAAGAACCTAGGAGGCAGCAGTAGCAGCAACAGCGGTAGCAGTAGCAGCAACAATAGCAGCTGTAGCCATAGCAGCAGCAGGGGGCGGGAATGTAGCTACCGGAGATGAGGGGGTTGGGGAGGGGATTGGATGGAGGCGTGGCAGGGAAATGGGAGCAGCAGGGCAAAAATATGGGATGGCAAATAATGAAGATGGCCGGCATCCGTCCCCCTGCCCACCACCCCACAGGTTACTGGGGCACTTTTCCCATCCCCAGTCTCCGGGTGTCCCATCCCACCCCCCCGTCGTGCATGTGGCTTTACGATCTCGATCTGAGCCACGGTACATGTGCGTGCGTGCGTGTGTGTTTCAGAAGCAGAGGGGGGGCGGGCTGAAGCTACTTACCAAGTAGTGATGCATCACGTACAGCCCTTAATGTGTGTTTTGATTATTGCAGGCGAATGTAGCGCGCGAAGGAAGTTATAAATCCCAGCACCTATAACTTCTTCCCCTCACCTTGCCAACAAGCCTTCCCTTTCCCTCCTCCTCTCCCCTCCTTCCACCCCCTCTTCCCCCCTCTCCCCTACTCTCCCCTCCTCTCCCCTCCTCTCCCCCCCTCTCCCCTCCTCTTCCCCCCCTCTCCCCTCCTCTTCCCCCCCTCTCCCCTCCTCTTCCCCCCCACACCCGTCTCCCCCCCTCCAGAGCCCCACCTGGAGAAGTTGTAGTTGGACAGGAAGGACGAGAAGTTGACAAACAGCCTCGGGAAGGCGATGGGGAGTATGGAGGTGAACAGCATCGTGATGTCCAGCAGCACCACCCCAGGTACCGCCACAGGTACGAACAGCAGCCAGCGGTGACGTCGTCGGGAGCCCAACACTGCAGCACCCCCCACCGCGGAGTCGCCCTCCTCCAGACCCTGTATGTGCGTATGTACGTATATACGCGTGTGTGCGGAAGGGTTTGTTTGCGGCACGCGTGTGAGTGTAAATGTATGTATGCATGTACGTACATACGTGCGTATATATGTATGTGTGTATGTGTGTATGTGTATGGTTCGTGAAGGGGGCATTGCAAGCTTGGGAGGAAAGTGGTTTTAGATTTCAGGCAGGGGGCTTTGCTGGGCCCATATTCCCCCTTTCCCCTTTTTCCTCAACAACCCCTCCCACCCTCTCCCTCCCCCTCCCACCCCCCACCAGCACGTTCAGCTTGGTGGTGGTTCTCTTCAGGTAGGCGGTCACGAGCACCGCCATGATGACGTAATGCCACAATATGAACACCAGGGTGACCGTCATCCAGTCGCGGTGGTCCGTCTTGGAGAGCGCCTGGGTACGGCAGGGACAGAGACAGAGACAGGGACGGGGGGTAAGGGGAAGGACGGACGCTACATGATGTGATGTGATGCGATTGATGTGATGGCGATGTGGTCGAAGAGCGGACGCTGCGACCGCTGTGCACACCTTGATACCGCATGAGGATGTGCGGAGGACCGCATTCAAGATGCGTTACCAAGATGACCCAGATCGCAAAACCCAGATCACAAAGCAACACCATGCCATCGTCAACAACACCATAACTATTCTGCAACCCTTGGTTGGTGAAGAGAGACAGAGAGAGGAAGAGAGGAAGACAGAGAGGAAAAGAGAGAGGAAGAGAGGAAAGCCTCGCCTGGGTTAAGCCGGGCCAGCAGCCACGACATCAGCCCGCAAGAACCCCGCTCCCCTCCTCTCCTCCCCTCCCCTTCAGGCTTCCCCCGCCCCTCCCCTAAATCACCCCCCGGGGATTCTTGTTCTCAGCCCTGCACATAGACTCTCCCCTCCTTCCGGTGCATTCCTCCTCCTCCTCCTCCTCCCCCTCCTCCTACTCCAGCAAACCGCCTCCGCCGGCTAGTTAGTTAGGTAGTTAGGTAGGTAGGTGCTAGGTAGGGACACACTCACATCCACCACCAGCGCGTCCGTGTAGATGTCGAAGAAGAACAGCAGCACGCCCACGACGTCCATCAGCACCGCCACAAAGTAGTTTTGGAAGATGCGGTCAACCAGCGTGTTGAGGCGCTCCACGAGGGCGCTGTTGGAGAGCCGCTCGAAAAAGGTTTCCTTTTTGATTGAGTACGTTTGCCACGCCAAGGAAGAAGAAGAAGCCGCGGATGGGGGTGTTGTTGAAAACGGAAAATGGGTAAAATGGGGATAATGCTTCGTAGCAAAGAAGGTGAAGGGTGATAAGAGGTGAGAGAAGGGGTAGCTAGGTGCTGCGGGCGTGAAGATAGAAACCCTAAGTAACGATGTCATAGCAGCGAAGCATCGCCAGGGCCAAGCCTTGGGACCAGTGTTCCCATCCGGGGTTTGGAAATCCCGCCGCTTTTCTTGTCCCCTGCACCCTTCCTTCCCTGGGACGATTTCCCGAGCCTCGTGAAGCCTCTCGCGTAACCTGTTCCTGTCAAAGCATCAAACCCTGCCTGGAGCCGCAGATGCTCCTAATTTGTGAATACTTAGTCGTGCTGTGGAGCTCTAAACAGTAAAGGAATGAACCAGCTTCTTCTGTTTGGGGCACTTTTTGAAGGTACGTAGGGGAGCCGCACCTCATCATCATCATCCACAAGCAAAGCAGCTGCTGCTGTTGGCTTCTGGCCACCAGTTGAGGAAAGTCGCGCGGCTTGTGAGCTGGCAGTAACGACATGGAGGGAGTAGAGGGGGTTCTGGTCTGAGGGACCGGGAGCTTTGCCATCCGATGATGGCCCGGCACCTGCAGCCCGTGGTCGTATCGGTGAGAGCTGCGGCATCGGCCAATCGCGGCCATATGCTCCTTCACCATATGTGCCTGTTTTGATGCAGGTTGTTGAGGTAGGTTACAGCAAAGTAGGCTACTGATTTTCGCGTGCTCATGACGTGTGCTGGGGGGAATCCCGCCGCGCCGCTGCCTTGATAAGCCCTTACCGTCATGGAGAAACTTCCTCTCCTCTCCATCCTAAAACGCATGGCAGCAAAAGCGCATAAGTAGCATGCCGTCTGGCCTTCCATAGTTTTTTGACCCGGAGGGTCGATGAGAGGTCACACCTGGCCGTGCTCAAAATCCAGCACCGCTGCATCTCTGGATTTATGGTAGACCATCTGTAGAAGTTAAGTTACCAATAACATCCTTTCAAGGCGTTGGATAGTTCAAACTGGTGTTTAGTGCGTTCAGCTGACATCTGTGAATGCATACATGGAACGGCTGACTTTACAAGTAAAAGAACATTCCATGTAAATGGTGTAGGTAATAACAACGGAAAGACACATTGTAACGGTGTTTCCCGTTACCTACCACGCCAACCATCTTGCTTTACTGACTAGTGACTGCGACCCTCAGCAAGTTCTGGCATAGGGGCACTTAGGGACGCAGCGTGTAATTTTGTTTCTATACAACCAACATGACTTCATCCATTCTTCAAGCGCAACGATTTGGGTTGCAAGGGCGCTGGCACACTAGCGCAGCGAACCGGCCGAACTGGTTCAGGCTGCATAGAGGCAAGTTTATTGGTCGCGTTTTAAATGCTCTCGAACACAGTAATTTTCTTCCATGTGGCGTTCATGCTAAGCCAAGTCTGTTAGCACTCTCCTACCCCCGTACTATCCTTTACTTGCGGACGTCACCTTCCCCGTCACACGCTCGTCTATGAAAGCGCTCTTAAGCCAAATACCTTAGAGCACTTTGCCCGCACTCTCCCCTCTCTGTCTCACGCGCACACACGGCCCCTCCCGCTAGGGGGAGAGTGCTTCGGCTGTCGTTCTCGCTGGGGGTAGGTGGTTAGGTGCCCCTGGCCAGCATCAGGCCCGGATCGCTGTGCAACAGAACCATACATACATGCATACACACATACACATACTCTCTGTCCCCCGGGCCCCATTTCACCCCCCAAAAACATCAATTTCCTCTCACCAGGCGGAGCTGCCACCAGCACCAACACCAACAGGACCAAGGTAATACCATCGGCATCAACAGCTACAGCAGCCGGCACCGTGGCAGCGGCCGCAGTAGCAACCACCGAGCAGCAGCCCGCCGGCACCCCAGAAACGGCCACATCGGCGGCCGATGACACCGCCGTACAAGTCCTGGACGAGCGTACGGCACCCGAGAAGCTGCGGGACATCAGCACACTCATCCTGGATTGCGACGGAGTGCTCTGGAGGGGCAATGACATAATCCGTAACGCTCCAGAGGTACGACGGTATACGACGGCGGGCGGCTCCAGGATGAGGCTGGAAAAAGGGACCCGGGGGGGAAAGGGGGGAGAATCTTGACCCACAAGGGCGTCTTTCCTCTCTCCTCTCCTGGCCTATCGTCGGTTCTCCGCCGCCTCCCTCTCTGTCTCACTCAGCTGCTATCCCGCATTGCGCACATCATCGTTAAGGTCAACATTAACAAAAATAAGAGCAAGAGAAAATCCCAGCAACCACACCGATCACAACCACCACAACCATAATAACCACCATAACAGACTTAAGAACCAACCGCAACAACCACATCAATCCTAACAACAAACACATACAACCACCGCAAGCATTGGCAAACAAAACCAGTAATGATGGCAAGCATCAGTAAACGCAACCGAAAAACACTTCCCCCCTCCCTCCCCACCCCCCATGTTGATGCAGTATCTGTCTATTCCTGCTGTATACGTCTATCATATCCCTGGTATCAGCTTCAATCGTGTGTGTTTCGTCTTTGCTCTCCTCCCTCCCCCCTTACACACCGCCGACCGGTTAGTTACGCTTTCTTTACTTCTGGTGCATCAGCCTTTCCTTGGCATCAGCTTCACTCGCTCGTGGTTCGTCCTCCCCCCCACCCCATACACCCCATACCTGCCCCACCAGGCGCTACGTGCCTTCCGTTGCGAGGGCAAGCGACTCCTCTTCGTGACGAACAACAGCAGCAAGTCCAGAGCGGAGTACGCGGCCAGGTTCCGGGGGCTGGGGCTGGAGGTGGCTCCTGAGGAGGTGAGTGCGTGGCGGGCAGGGAGTAGGGTGTGTTTTTGTGTGTTTTTGTGTGTGGCGGGGGGATTTGCTGCACTGGGATGGGTAGGGGAAGCCGTGTGAGTGGCGGGGGGAAAGGGGGAAAAGGAGTTAAAGGTGGCTTTGAGTGTGAGGGGGGGGGAGAGAGGCCGAAGCGGCCACGCAAGATCTAGCACGCGACCACGTCTGCAGCGCGCGGGCAATCCGGAGGTTCGTACATGTACACAAGCCCGTACACGCGTACACACACCTTCGTTGGATTGTAAATCCCTCTCTCACACCCTTTCTGTCATGTCGTCTTTCAATCATCAACCTTCCTCTCTCTCTCTCTCCCTCTCCCCCCCTCAACCCCGCTCCCTGCAGATTGTGTCTTCATCGTACTGCGCCGCGGCCTACCTGACGAGCATTGGTTTCGGAGCGGGTAACAGCCATCAGGGCAATAACGTTAATAAAAACACCAACAACAAGAAGGTCCTGTTATTGGGCTGGAGCGGTGTGGAGCAGGAGCTTCAGACGGCGGTGAGGAAACAACAACACATTACACCACATTGCAGAGATGGTTAACTACCGAACTACCTACTTACCTGCCGTACCTAATTAGAGCATCCAGCGGCCTGCTTAACAACCCTCAGACCTTAGAGTATTTTTCCTTTTTTTTCCTCCCTTCCCGCTCTCCCTTCCCTTCTCCTCTTCGCTGGGAACCTTCAACCTTTCCGGCCAAAGCCAGCGTGGCGGATAGCGGTGTCCGGATAGCTACCGGGTCTAGCTCACCCCACCGCAACCACCACCACCACCACCACCCCTCTACAGCAGGGAACACAGTTCCCCCGCAAATCCCTTAACCCCACCCCCAACCCCCCACCATCACCCCAAACTCCTCCCTCCCCCATTAGCACATCCTTACCTCATCTCTCTATTCCCGCAACCCTGTTTCATGATCCCCTGCCCCGGTAACCCCAACCCCAACCACCCTCAACCACCCCCAACCACCAACCCCCCAGGGTATTCCCTTCCTTGGCGGGCGGGAGTTCTCCGTACCTCTCATGGACAACATGGAGGCCATGAAGGAATTGAAGGTGAAGGGGCGGGGCCCCACCCTGTGTGTGTGTGTGTGAGCGTGTGTGTGTGTGTGGGAAGGTCGGGGTTGGGACCTGGGAGTTCAAGTGTGTGGGGGGGAAAGTGGGACATGGGAACCCTAAGAACCCCAAATCCTAAACAAATTCCGATTCCCCCAAAATTCCGAACCCAGGTCGACCCCGATATCGGCGCGGTGGTGGTTGGTTGGGACCCCCATTTCTCGTACTCCCGCCTCGTGTACGCCTCCATCTGCCTGCGGGAGCTGCCAGGCTGCCTGCTGGTGGCCACCAACACGGACTGCGCGGACCACATAGGCGGCGGCAGGATGATGCCGGGCACGGGGGGGCTCGTGAGGGCAGTGGAGGTGGCGGCGGGGATGAAGGCGGTGAGTCTTTGTGTTCCATGGAAAATCATATACATCCACAACCAACCATCATACCACTTACCCATAGCCTTAGCCCTGAGCTGCACAGTTACACTTACACAGACCTCGTTTCCCGCTTTCCCCCCCCGCGACTCCCAACCGCCTCTACTGCCGCTAGTTCAATTCACCCAACCACCCAACGAATTAACCACCAACCAATGAATGATTAATGAACCAACACAGGTCAACGTCGCCAAGGGTGGCGAATGGCTCCTGCCGTACCTATGCCGTACGTACGGCCTGGAACCCTCCCGTACGGCCATCATTGGCGACCGGCTCGACACGGACATTTTCCTAGGTCGCCAAGGTGGTTTGTTCACGTGTCTACCGTTGACGGGTGTAACTACCCTGGAGCGGTTACGGCGGTTGGCGGTTTCGGAGCGTCCTGACGTGGTAATCGGCAGTGTGGCGCAGCTGGCGGGGCTGCCGTGACCCGCGACCCACAGGCATCATGTCCGTGTGTGCATGCACTTAACTTTTTCCGCCGCGTCCAGTAAGGACGAAATCCAGTACGGAAGGAAATCCAGTACGGAAGGAAATCCAGTACGGAAGGAAATGGGTTTTGAGCTGTTGGCTCCTAAGTCGACCTTTGATAAGGCAAATTGCTTTTGACTTTTGGCTGACTTTGGAGAGCAGGGTGTTTATCGTGAAGATAATGTGTGTAGCTCGGAGCTTTTGTGGAATCTGCCGTGTCGACATGGGAGAGATGATAGCATGGCTGCATGATGAGCGGGCCGCGTGTTCCAGTCACACGTCGTCAAGGCGTCATGTAATTATCATCAACATCATCAACATCATCAACATCATCAACATCATCAACATCATCAACATCATCAACATCATCAACATCATCAACATCATCAACATCATCAACATCATCAACATCATCAACATCATCAACATCATCAACATCATCAACATCATCAACATCATCAACATCATCATCACAGTCATAGAACCACATCAATCGCGATTGCGCCCAAGTGCGATTCAGGTAGCAAGTAGCAGCGAGGTTGGGGGAGGAGGGATGGGTGCATGGCCCACGGGGATGGGGTGTTGAGGTGTGGGATTCAAGATTGCAGGCGTGCATGTATGTATGTATGTATGTATGTATGTATGTATGTATGTATGTGTGCGTATCTGTGTGAGTTCGAGGACAGAAGGCTGTGGCGACGAGGTCGTATCGCCTCTCCTGCGCCAAATGCGGGCAGCAGTTGTATTGATAGTACAGCCTGAACCTCTTTTCTCGAGGCTATCATCTTGTGCTAAACTAGAACGGGCTTTCTAAGTGCAGTTATTTTACCGGACAGAAGCAGAAATAGATTGTTTTGCCTTTATTTAGGATACTCGTTCTTTCGTTCGGATGCAAGTTACATTCTTCCAGGTCATCGTGCCGGCAACTTAGAGAAAATCCCGCAAATGCAAGCATTTTTCACGTAATGAGGTAATTCGATTTATTTCTTATAATCACTAGGAAATTGTCACTTTCGTGGGCACGTGGGGGCCACGTGGGGTTTAATCATCCTTTCAGTTGGTTACGGACAACAGGACGAAGAGTGTAGTGCACAGAAACGAACTGGTCAAAGGAGAGGTTCAAGGTATTAATGAAGATTGCATAGTAATAGGTAGTAACAGGTTCCTTCTAATGGTAATCCGTGCAAGGTCATCGACTCGTGCGGACGGATCGATGTGGCCTGGAGTATGCAGGACGTGCGCTCTCAATCTGATTGCATTTATGTCCTGCATTAAGCAATGAGCTTCCTAGCGTGGATAGGAGAAATGCACTAAGTTTGATTTGTACGTCGCATTTGTCACGTACTACTTCCACGTCGTCATGTGCCGATGGTAAGCGGCATGTGCATAACTCCTTAAGACGCGCTTGGATTTAGGATTGCATGATATTTAGTCATCCCGTCAGGAAGGAATTCCAAAGTAATTGATAGAAGTTATGCATTTGACCATTACGATAGCGCTGAAGGTTCCAAAAACAGAGAGCTACGCTTTGTAGCTAATTTTCTTCTTTCCTTTGAGGCGATTGTTTGCAGTCCCACGAGGGGGCTTTCCATCGAGAGGACTTGGGTTCACGTAAGAAAAATCCAAGGCAAATCATTACGGCATAGGACGGAACCGTGCACAAACACAACCGTGAACTTTAGATAGAGAAAATTTGCTCTTGTCTATGCGCATTCCCACAACGTGCAGGTTGGATTGACGCCCGGCGCCTTGGCATACGACGTGGCGTCAGACACGCGCGCTAGACAGCAAGCAGAGCGCTGCCAGAGGCATTCCAGAGCTCTTAACTGACAAGAAGGGAACGAATTACGCGACAGCTGAAGACCTGTGTTTGGGTCTGTTGTTTCGTAAGGAATGGACATGGATTCCCCTTTTTCATGTGGAGGCTGGTCCATGCACCAACCTGTCGACTGGGACTACACGGAATTCTTGACAGATATGTTTGCACCGACCACGGCGGGGAATACTATGCAGCAGCCGCAACAACAACCGCAGCAAATTCAACCGCAACAGCAGCAGACGGCGATGGCGACCATGAACTCTATGGCCCCGCCAGCTCCGACCACATATGCGACTTTTAATCACACCTGGGCTTCTTCAATGCATCAACCAGTTGACTGGGAACTACCGGCGCTGATTTCCGCGCCCGCACAGCCTGCACATCTCCTGCAGGTCGCACCTGACGTGCACGCACTTCAGCAGGCGCAGCCCGCCGCAAACATCCTGCCCTTGCAAATACCGGCTATCGCTATCGCACCATCCCAGCAACAGCAACTTCAGCTTCAGCTCCCTGCATCTTCTTCCGGGAAACCGCCCGCGACCGCGACCGCGACCTCACAGCTAGCGAAAGACAGAGGAAATGGGACCGGCAGCGGGGTCACCAGCGCCGGTAGTTTGGGACCAGACGTAAGCGGCGTCAAGCGCGATCGCTGCGTCCGTCGCATCAAGTCGACTGCGCTCCGGCCACAGCAGCAACAGATGCTGGATTTGCAAAAAAAGCTGGACGCTTTGGTGGCAGAGCATGCAATTGTGGAGGCTGAAAATGAGCGTCTTAAGACTCGGCTGCGGGTACGTCGTTCTCATGTCAACGACATGGAAACTGTCATCTCGCCAAATTGTTGCCAATTTCCTAAGAGTGCATTATGAACGGGACAATTAAATTCCCTAGAGTTTTGGTATGCTCCGTACGTAACAGTTTTAGTGAGCATCGTACATCGATTTCAAAAATAACTGGTATTCTAATTCCTCAGTGGTTTCCGCCACCGCACCTCCGACCCGTTGCTGCTCCATACTGCTCCTGCTGCTGCTGCTAAAATGCCTTTTCGATACTTTGTTCGCGAGCGCGCGCGCTATGTGTGCAGTTCAGATGAGACGAACCCGAAGGCTCATGACGGCGCTATGTGTGCATTATCATCCGCAGGTTCTAGAGGCCGTACTGCCTGTACGGCAGCAGCAGGCGCTCTGGGCCCAGTCCAAGACCGCAGCGGAGCGCGCTGCGGAGCGCTGCGCACCTCCCGACCCGGTACTCGCCAATTTGCTGGATATGGCCCTGGCGCCGTCAGCGCCCAGTAGTTGTGCCACCTCGTCGCCAGCGCGCCAGGAAGGCACTCCAGCGGCCGCCGCAGCCGCCGCTGGCACTCCCGCTACCGGTTGCGCCGCGTGGTGCGGCCTTAGCGGCGGCGGCGCTGCCGCCGCCGACGGCATTGCCACTGCCGCCATCGCTGACAACAGCCTGGCGATGACGGCGGCGGCGATGGCGGCGGCGGCGGCGAGCAGTCCCGCATTGGCTCTTGTTCCCGCCGAGCCGGCCCCGTGTGCAAGCTCCTCCTGCGGCGCCGCCAGCACCAGCACCGCCACCACATCTGGAAACACAAACGCCGTCAACCCCCCGGCGCTCCGAAACCACCACCATAACAACAACAACAGCAACCAGCACAACGGCAACCACTTCAGCGGTCAACAATTCGCACGGAGCGGCTCGCTCAACAATCACAACACTGACGACGCCGTTATAGCTGGAAGACGCTGCTGCGCACACCACAACAGCAACCGTACCAACCACCACATCAACCACCAAACCCACCACAGCAGCAGCCATATCCACCACCATGGCGGCGGCGGCGGCGGCGGCGGCGGCGACTGCCTCACCCGCGGCCGTTTCCGTGGCAGCGGCGGCGGCGGCGACGGCGGCTGCTCCAGGGAACGTGCCGCCGAATCCCCGTGTGACAGCCAGCCGCGGTGGCTGGACGCTTGGCGGACCTGGGTTCGCGAGGCGGCGTTACTGCTGCAGGCGTACGACGCTCGTCCCAACGACCACTACCTAACTCGTCTCGAGGAAGCTTTTACGAAGCTGAAATCGGAGGTGGTGTACCTGGGGTTGCGGCATCCGGAGCTCATCTGCAATATGCGTTGTGTGAATTTGGAGACGGGAGCGGAGCAGGAGTTTCCACAGGACAGTTTTTGGGCGCTGGTGGTGGGGGGGATGAAGCTAGACCCGCAGCAGGTACGGCACGCGCACGCGCGTGTTGGAAAAACAGAGGCCCTGTTGTGTATTTTGAAGGGGGGAGAGAGAGATGGGGGGTGAGGGTAGGGTAAGGGTAGAGAGGAGGAGGACGAGGAGGAGGAGGAGACGAGGGGGGGGTGAGGGGACTGCGGAGGAAAAGATGCTCTGCCTTTGGCTCATACACCGGGGCATAACATCGCATCCGCCACATCCCACAACCCCTATACTCAACCACCAACAGCAACCAACTAACCACTAACCGTCATTCACAAACCATGATTGAGTACGACATGATGTGCCGACGTTATACCGTTAAAAGTCGCTAACTGACCGTCGCTAACTGACCGTCGCTAACTGACCGTCGCTAACTGACCGTCGCTAACTGACCGTCGCTAACTGACCGTCGCTAACTGACCGTCGCTAACTGACTGGTGAAAACAGGTCGCCGAATGCAAATCCGCTCTGGCGCTATACCGCGAGCGGATGGCGGTCGTCCTGGCGGAGCGACGGAAGTTGGCGTCCCAGATGTCGACTTGTTTGACGGCGCTTCAGTTGGAAGAGGCGGACGGCCGGGCGGCACCGGGCAGCCGTCGGCGCGAGGAGTTGAGTTTGGAAGCTGAGGAGGCGGCGTCTGCTTTGGAGGCGAATGTGGCGGTGGAGGGCCATACGACGTCCCTCGCGCGGGTGAGTGACGTGCAAGAAGACGTGTGGCTGTGTCGTACGGCCTGTCGTGGCCACCGTACTCATCAGCGACCACCTCCCATTGGCCTGTGCGCAACGCGATCTCAATGAACCTCGAAACAATGTGATGTCAGTCTGTACGTCAGTCTGTCTCCTCTCCTGGGGGAGAAGGGAAGTGCGAGTGGCGGAGGGCCCTAATTTGCGGTCATGCTGTCGTACCATTTATTTGAACCCCATCTCCTGACCTACTTCGTCCAACTGCCTGTTGTACCAATCGTACCGTGCCTGCATGTCTGCCTGCTCCAATTTTGTTGAATATCACCCATCCTAAACTCAGCTCCTGATTTTTTTTACCTTTTTTGAGATCCCGTCACCCAAATCGATCCCCCCTTGATTCCTTGACGTCCTAGGACCTGCTGGGAAGCAAGCTCTTCTCCAGAATGCAGTGCGCCCGGGCCAGCGTCCTGTCGTACCCGTACTTTCCGGACGCTCTAGCCATCATCACCGCCGCCGTCGGCGATCATGACACGACAGGGACGGCGGCGGCGCCGCCGCCGCCGCAGTCCACGTCACCACCATCGCTGCAGCAGCAATAGCAGCAGCAGCGGCCAACTCGAAGTGGCGATGGTACGACAGTGGTGGCGGCGGCTGCGGCGGCACCGCAGCTCCACCGCACGTGATTGGCGGTTAAGGGTGGTTGAGGAGGTTGAGGAAAGAGGGGGTGAAAAAGAAGGAAAAGTACGAGCTCCGAGACCAGGCTGCGAGAACAGGCGGACTTGGACAGTGGGGTGTCTCTGTGTATGTATGTTGTTACAGGGTGGTTAACTTCGCCAGCGGCCCCCTTTCCCGGGGCAGTCCCTGCTCTCCCCTGCTAGAGGGGCACCCTAATCCGTCACCCCATCCGACTTCAGAATGTATTCGTTGGGTTCGGCAACTCACCACCAGCATCCAACCAAATCTAGCGGATCAACGGCGCATCAACTTAGTTCCTGGTCAGCTCGCAAGTTGATATTATCACGTCCTACACCGTCCATAAGATGGGGGGCCACCTCCCATTTCATCACTCCTCAAACACCCGAGGAGCCGGCAGGCGGATTTGAACCCGGGTCGACTGGGTCAACTGGGAGCAGAAGTCAGGCCTTAACCTCTGCCAGCCGCCTGCCTCTGATATTAATGTGTGTGTGACTCTGTGTGTATGTCATTGCGCTTGCCCATCACGTCGTCCGTCATCGTATCACACAGAGAGCTTGCGGAGGCATGTAGGTATAAAGGTCTGCCTTCCTTTCCTCCTCCTCCTCCTCCTCCTCCTCCTCCACCTCCTCCTCCGTCCGGAACAGGGTCGTCGTGATGTGGGGCACGTCCGCAAACCCCAGAGGGAGTGTACGGGAAAGGTGGTCGGTAGGGGCCCACTTGTTTTTGAAAACTGGGAAGCTGCTGCTAGGTTTATGGGGGTTTCGGAATGGAAAGAGGAGGTGCGGAGGCCGGCAGGGGGGAAAGCTTGTTGTTGTTGTTGTGAAATTTAGTTAGTAGGTTGTTGAAAACGAAGGCGAAGAATTTGCTCGGCGGGTCGGATGCGCGAGCGATACCTCGTGAGTGTGAGTGAGTGAATATTAGTAATGACAACGCTGCTGCTGCTGCTGCTGCCGATGCTTATGATGGTGGTGGTGGTGCAGCTGCCTTCGGTGCTGCTTTGCGTGGCATGGCGCGTGGCAGTGCTACTGCTGCTGCTACTACTACTGTTGTTGCTACTGCTACTGCTCGTAGCTGCTTTGCGTGCGGTGCACTGTCCTTAGGTGGCAAACACTGGGTTCCCAGCTTTCGCTGACTTCTTGGCGGCTGCGTAGGCCTCCATCAGAGCTGTCGCCGCGTTTTTTTGTCAAGTTTGCGGCTTTTGGTTCTTTACTACGACTACCACTCGAACTAAACCTCTCTCTGGAGGGAGGCCCCATCCGAGTTGCAGCAGGCGAGGCGGCTTTCGGAAGCTTGAAAGGAAGTTTTTGGCGGCTCGAGGATTTTTTTTTACGTGATGGGCCATCACGTAAATGATCACGAGGACGAGGATGAGGATGAGGATGACGGCGATGGTCGTTTTAATCTCAATCGATTTTTCGACTTGGCTTATCACTCATATTGCTGAGGAAACGCAACATGTACATGTATGTATACGTATGTGTGTATGTATATCGTTTTTGAAGGGGGATTGAGGCAGGGGGGTTAGGGGTGACTGGATGTATGTGTATAGCTGCGCTTAAATGTGGTTTCCCCTCGAGCCCAGGGAAGGCCTTTCATTCACAAGCTCGCTTCGAGTTCCGTTGGATGCGCAAACACGTCCCCCTTGTTGCGCAGCTGCGTGTTTTTAATTTTTGACTTGTGTTATTGCATCAAGACGTTTTGGGGAGCCCCCGCGGGTGGGGGATAGGGCACGGCGGGCTGGTACGGGCTGTGAAGCTCGAACAGAAACTTATCAGCCTGTCCACCATATGTTCATTTCTTGACGAGGAAAAGAAAGAGAAAGAAAAGAAAAGCTATAAGTTTCAAAAGAAGATGAGCTTCTTCGACTCTTTCTTGTTTTTTTGTAAATGCTGCGTGAGGTCGTGGTGCGGCAGTAGTGATGGTGATGGTCATGGGGGCGCCGAAAAATGTGCTCTTCAGCCTCTCGAGAGTCAAAAACGGCTCTTCAGTTGCTCGGGGCATATGTCCCCATCCTCCCCCATGCGGTGGCTGGATGGGTGGCTGGGGGAAAACCCGTTCAACTTGCCCGGGGGGCCCTGCGTTTTATATCCCCCTTGCTTGCTACTGCTGCTGCAGCTGCTGCTGTTGTTGTTGTTGTTGTTGAAGCTGCTGCTGCTGCTGCTGTTGTTGAAGCTGCTGCTGCTGCTGTTGTTGAAGCTGCTGCTGTTGTTGTTGTTGAAGCTGCTGCTGTTAACGCCGTTTTCGTTTAGGAAAAGCAGTCGTCAATTGGTGCGCGTTGCCATCCTATGCAGTTTGTCTGTTTGTCTGTTATGTTTACTGGTGATGGTGATCACAGTGATAATCATGTTTTTATTATCTATGATAAGAGTGATGGGCTTCATAGTACGCATTCGTGGTGGTGATCGGATGCTGCTGCTGCTGCTGCTGCTGCTGCGCTGACGGCGTTGATGGCGTTGATGGCGATAACAACACCTGTTTTGATCTGAAAGCCTTTTCATGTTGAAGATGAAGTTGATTGTAATGGTGATATATGGTGTGAGGTATGATGAAGAAATGAATGCAGGAGGCGGCTTAGGGACCCCACAGGGAGGGGCCACCGTTGGAGGGGGGGATTGGTTGTCGCCGTACATGCTCGTGTATTCGCTGTTGGACGCGGAGTGGTGGCTGTGGTGCCGCCTCTTTCCGATGTCGATGCGGGCGACCTTCTCCCTCCCCCACCCCCTGGTTCAAGGGGAGGGGGTAACGGCGGGGGGTTGGCATGAGCAATGGGTGGTGGGAGCATGTCCTGAGCAGCGCCCGGGGGAGCAGTGGCGGTGGGTGGGGATGCCGTCACGAAACCAACATAACTTTGCTCTTTGCTTTCCTAACTAGGTCGACGATACACGACATCATAAGTGTATATGTGTGTGTATGTGTGTATGTATGTAATGTGTCAGTTCTCGTCGACCAATCTAGCCACACGACGCACATTCACATATCCGTCCCCCGTTACCGGGATGCGGATCTTACATCATGACTGCGTCGTCGTACTATTTTGCGTTTTTTTAATGTCATGAGATTTCTGTACTGCTGCTGTTGTTGTTGTTGTTGTTGTTGTTGTTGTTGTTGTTGTGCTGTACGTCCTGGCATGGACTGTGCCATGTACTTTTAATGTGCCGTACAATACGACTGAGTACTGTATGTGGTTGTAGGTCTTTGTCGTCAACTTATCGCGTGCATCCTCTCTCTTCCCCTGTCTTTTGGTTTTGTCGACGACCTCTGTTCCTCCTCTGCGGTTTAGCGCTCCGCTTCCCAAATGCATGTGCATGAGCTGCTGCTGCTGCTGCTGCTGCTGCTGCTGCTCCATCTGCTCCATCCACACGCCCTGTCATGAGCATAGCACTAGCGTCCGTCCGCGAGCAAAGTCTTCGGAAGACCGAGCACGTTAAACACAAGGTAGTGTGGTGGGGGTGTGATCTGATAGCTGTACTGGATTTTTTATGATGGCGGCATAATGACGATGCTGATGCTGATGATGGCCATCATCACTTGTGTTGCATCCTGTAGGGATCGCATATCGGGAAATTTGCATCCGCCGATCGGTACACTCTCCTGGAGAAAAGCACTTCATGAAGGAAAGGCTTCATGAGCCACAAGAGAACATAAAACCAACCGCGCGAGCCAAGAGACCACTTCTTGTCATGGATTGGCATGTTGCAGCCCATTACCATGTTTCAGGCGAACCGCCACGCGCCCTAAGCGACCCACACGAATTACAGCAACCTCTGCGGCGAAGCACACACACACACACAAACACACACACGCATACATAACACCCGGGGGCCCACACACACGTGGCTTTCTGTGCCCTGCGTTAGGCCAATTCGGCTTCAATGAACTAAAAATCAAGCATTTCAAAAGACGGCGGCACGCATTGTGAGAATTTTTCATGAAGCAGTTCCGTACATCATGTACGACACAAGTACGACCACGTTGCTGTAAAATTTGCCTTGCCGGTTGTTATTAATATCAGTCCAGTCCTGTCCAGACCTCGTCAGACGCATAAGGAACCTGTGCAGTGCTAGAAAATCAGTTCCGGAACGCTTGTAGCCTATATAGCTCATACTCCAACCTTTCTGCCACAAACGCCGTCTGTTCTGTTGGCGAGTTTCACCGCTGCAGGATGCTCAAGTGGATAAACCCATTTGGGCTTGACAGAATGATGTGTAGCAACATGACGATTCGCGGGAAAGGAGTTCCTCAAGATGTCTCTAGGAGATTTCGTCCACCCGAATATGCACAACGGTAAACACAACGGTATGCAACGGTACGGTACATATTTTTGTCTTATCCTGTGAACATCTGATGTTGATGTGTCGGCGCACATCAGAGAAGTTTGAAGCTGCAGAGCACGAACCCCAAAACGTTGCGTTGTTGTACGGAAATTCGCGCACACACACACACACACACGCGGCGACTAGTAGCTGAACAGGCTTTTCCGCAGCGCCAAGAGCTCGTTCCGCACAGCTGCGAAGAGAGGCCGTTGCGCGGGCGGCATGTCGGCGCAACGATCCGCGATCTGCTGCAGCGCCCCCACGACCCGGGCGACGATGGCGCCCCCCGCCTCTTCCGCTTCCTCGCAGCGTGCCGCCACGTCCCTAAGCAACAGTCCGTACGCCCGTACCTCCATGGCCTGCCAGTACGGCTGCATCCAGGCGTCGTAGCTGAATGAGGCACCTGCGGGGTACGTGTGGTGTGTGTTTATGTGTGTGTTTACAAGCCCGTTTAAGGGGGGGGTGTTCAAGACCACCAAACACCTTAGCAGCACCACTTCCTCCGCCCCGAGGGACTTTACCCTTTCCCCCCCCCGAATCCACATACCGGGCACGGGGCGGCCCCTTTTTCAGTTACAGACAGACAGACAAACAGACAGGCAGACAAACAGACAAGCAAGCACAGCCGATGCAACGCACCAAAGTCGCACAGCGTAACGTTCTCGTCCTCGTCCATAAGCACGTTGTGCGCATACACGTCGCCGTGGCAGATACCCGCGGCGTGAAGGTAGGCCAGCGCGTCCGCCACCGCCACCGCCAGCAGCAGCGCGCGGTGGGGCGCGAACCTCACGTCGTCGCCCCACTTGCAGCGCAGCAGGTGCTTGCTGGTGGGCTTGTGGGCCAGGGGGTTGCCTGGTGGGGGAGGCGGTTGGGGGCGGTTGGGGTGGTTGGTTGGGGCGGTGGGGCTGGTAGGGGGGGTAAGACACAGAAGACACGAAACACAGCACGATGTGTTTCGTGATGGGATTACGCATGGCCGCGAACAGGTACTGTCTCTGTCCCTCGGGTGCTCGTGTTGGAGGGGAAACCATTTCCTCTGATTTCACCCGCTCCTCCCCTCCTTCCCGCCACTCTGCGGCAAATGCCGTTCGACGTGTGTGGGCCCCCCCCCTTACTCTGCGACCCTCGGCATCCCTCTTTGAAACCTTCTTACCCCACACCAACAGACGCACGTACATACATACATACATACATACATACATACAAACAAACGTGACATACACAGACAAAGCTCCGCTCCCTTTCCACGGACATTTCCTCTGCTCGGTTCTCTGCAGCTAAGTGTCACCTCCTGTGCCGTGTGCGGCGCCCTCTGGGCCCCGCATACCCTGGAAACACAGGGTGTGTGTGTGTGATTGTGTGTGTGTGATTGTGTGTGTGTGATTGTGTGTGTGTGATTGTGTGTGTGTGATTGTGTGTGTGTGATTGTGTGTGTGTGATTGTGTGTGTGACACACACACAGATACCCGGAGAGCTGCCTCCCCCCTTTTCCCGCCTCCCCCCCAACACACATACACACAGACACATACACCAGGTGTGTACACGTCATGTATGTGTGTATGTACGTATGTGTGTCATCGTGGCTCATTAGATCATGATGACAGCACACACCTGAGGCCAGTCGTAGCACCAGCCCCGGAGGGTACTTCACTTTGGCGAGAACCTGAGGAGTGCGGCGGTGGCGGCGGTGGCGGCGGTGGCGGCGGTGGCGGCGGTGGCGGCGGGAAAGCAGGAGCAGGAGGAGCAGGAGGAGCAGGAGGAGGGGGACGAAAAAATGGGGAGAGAGGGGAGGGAGAGGAGGAAGAGGAGGGGGGGAGGATGTCGTGACGTGACGTGAATGGAGCCGCCTTGTGTGGGTTTTGATCATACGACGAGGGCTCATACACACACACACACATTGTTACGATCACGAGCTCAACGAATTACGACGGATGGCTTCCCCGATCAAGCCCTATGGCACCCTATGCTGACACTGCTTGCACACGTTACACATACATACATACATACATACATGCATACATACATACACACCAGCCCATACATACATACATGCACACATGCAAACACACCCACGCCCCCAGACGGGGTCGGTCGGGGTTACCTGTGTCAGATGTGGGTGCTGCAGAGCAATGGCCAGTGCCACCTCGTCTTCAGCCCGGCCGTCCGGGGAGACGTCACCGCGGAAGAACTTAACCGCCACCAGATCCCCTCGCCATACAGCTAAGAGGGGGGGGGGCGGCCAGGGGGGGTGTACGGGGGGCAGTGGGGGGGGGGGTTAGCGGGGGCGCTGGAGGGCGGCGGAGTTGGTCTAGAGGGGTAAGGAAAGAGGAGAGGGAGAGGGAGAGGGAGAGGGAGAGGGAGAGGGAGAGGGAGAGGGAGAGGCGCTCTCACCTCGGAACACCTCCCCAGAGGCGCCGTCCGCGAGCTTCATACCCAGGTCCAAATCGTCAACCTGTGGCGGGGTCGTCGGGGGCGGCAGGGGGGACGCACCACGTAGCGGCACGTAGGTGGCGGTGGCGGTGGATATGAAAGAAGAGTTAAAACCCTAAAACCCGAATACCATCTCCCCATGTCGCCGCTGCCGCAGAAAACCAACAGACCGGGAAGGGAGGGGGCCTGGAGAGCTGACAAGGAACATAATCCAACAAAAGCAAAGGTCGTACACACGGGCAATTGAGCCAGCAACTGGGCTAAAATCTAGCTAGTTGGCTAGTTGTCTAGCTAGATATCTAGCTGGCTGGCTAATTAGCGACGGCCTACATTACGCTTTAGCCCCTCCATGTGTGAACTGTGGAGAGCAGCCGAAATGCCCGGAGAGGGGTTTCAGGGACGGGAATGAAAGTGAGGAGCCCACTGCTCCGTCCCGCCTCCCCCATCCTCCTTTGCACCCTCTCCCTCTCCCTCTCCTCCCTCCCCCCCC